ACTCTGGTCAAGCTTTCCCAGGCATTTTTCTGCTAAACCTTTGGCTAATTTTCTCAAAACACCCTTATCGTTCTTTGGCCCTTCAGAAAATCAATAAACAAAATACCTTGACCATTCAAAAACCTGTTGCCATGACTTTTGTTCTTGACGGGTCCACTTTTGCTTTGACTGGGCCACTTCTGCCCTTGGGAGCCACTGCTTTGCTTGTGCTTTGTCTTCAGAATTGGACTGGTAAAAGCCATGTTTCATCTGTTACAGTTCTTCAAAGAAATTCTTCAGGATCTCAGTCCCACTTGTTCAAAATTTCCATTGAAAGCTCTGCTCTTGTCTGCAGCTGATCTGGGTACAATGGTTTTGGCACCCAGTGGAAAGTTTGCTCAACTTTAATTTTTCATTGGAATTGTGCAAGCTGAATCTATTGAGATGTCTGTGGTGTTGGCTATTGTTTCTGCTGTTAATTTTTGGGCCTGTTCAATTAGGGCACAGGATTAATTTTTTCCTTGCAAATTGATGTGATGGTCTGCTGCTGGGGGTTTCATCTTAAAACATCATTTGGTCCCTTCTTAAAAAGAATTATTCATTTGTAAACTGCTGATTTCTTTGGGTCATTGTCCCCATAAACTTTATTGTAAAGCGTCAATGATTTCACCCTTCCTCCACCGTAATTTCGGTGTTTGTTCTTGCTTCAATTTTAGCAGAATTGATGTTGCTCTTGATAGGGACTCTTTTCAAGCTCATGTCTTATCCTTTGTATTGCCTCAAACTAGATCCTGTTCAGATGTGTTGTAACAGGTTAGTATGAATTTATTTTGGTGCAAAATAATTTTTAAATCCATGCATAGTTTTTCATAATACACATTTTCCATGAACTTTTTGAAGACCGCTTGTATAGTCCTGAATTGATCCTTGCTGCCGCTGGAAAGGGGGAAAAGGAAGTAGAATTGGAGCTGAATTCTAATGGCGTAATTATGCTTGTGGTATAGCGGTGAAAAGGAACAACCCTGCTATTTTGTGGTGACTGGTGTAGGGTGATTAGTAGTAGAGCTGAGCCGTAAGTGGCAATTACTCCTGAGAGCCAAGCATGAGGAGTCACATATTAGGCAGGTTATTTGAGGCAGACATCTGTGTAAATGATCTCCTAATTAATGAAAATGTGCTGAGCACCTATTTCTCAACTGTAATGGAGATATATGCTGAAATATATTCCTAATAAAGTATTTGCAAATAATTATCAGAAAATTAATTAAAATGTGAATGCATTAAGGGCAATCATTTATTTTACTTAGGTTTTTAGAAACCTAGCTAAAGTATGTTGATGTGTGTACTTTGCTGTTTTGGAAAAAAAAATTCAAGTTTTTCCTCCATTTTAGCTCAACAGTAAAGATCAAGGTTTACAGAAGACTACTAATTCATCTTTGGAAGAAATAATGGATAAGGCATATGACAAGTTTGATATTGAAATAAAAAGTGTGCAGCTACTCTTTGCTAGAGCAGGTAAACAATTATTCAAATTTTAGAATCTTGAAATTAATGTTGAGTAGTTTCAGTAATATATGTGTATGTACGTGTGCATGTATATCACCCCGACAACCATTTTGCACACATCTCCTATTGGTCATTTAAGAGAATCAGATAGGAGCCTGTCAGCATAAATCATTGCCACAATATTGTAGATACAGTCTTAAAACCATGAAGGTAATTAATTATTTCCCCAAAGCTTTGATGTTTTCTACTACTTAAGTGAAGATTTTTGGTTTTTTAGACTTGTTTACTTTCTAGGAGCAATAAGTATTTGTTAATTATCCTTGAATATATCACTTTGGGGTAGGTCATTGGAG